TTGTCAAAACGGCCTTCGGCCCGTTCATTCTTGTCAAAACGGCCTTCGGCCCGTTCATTCTTGTCAAAACGGCCTTCGGCCCGTTCATTCTTGTCAAAACGGCCTTCGGCCCGTTCATTCTTGTCAAAACGGCCTTCGGCCCGTTCATTCTTGTCAAAACGGCCTTCGGCCCGTTCATTCTTGTCAAAACGGCCTTCGGCCCGTTCATTCTTGTCAAAACGGCCTTCGGCCCGTTCATTCTTGTCAAAACGGCCTTCGGCCCGTTCATTCTTGTCAAAACGGCCTTCGGCCCGTTCATTCTTGTCAAAACGGCCTTCGGCCCGTTCATTCTTGTCAAAACGGCCTTCGGCCCGTTCATTCTTGTCAAAACGGCCTTCGGCCCGTTCATTCTTGTCAAAACGGCCTTCGGCCCGTTCATTCTTGTCAAAACGGCCTTCGGCCCGTTCATTCTTGTCAAAACGGCCTTCGGCCCGTTCATTCTTGTCAAAACGGCCTTCGGCCCGTTCATTCTTGTCAAAACGGCCTTCGGCCCGTTCATTCTTGTCAAAACGGCCTTCGGCCCGTTCATTCTTGTCAAAACGGCCTTCGGCCCGTTCATTCTTGTCAAAACGGCCTTCGGCCCGTTCATTCTTGTCAAAACGGCCTTCGGCCCGTTCATTCTTGTCAAAACGGCCTTCGGCCCGTTCATTCTTGTCAAAACGGCCTTCGGCCCGTTCATTCTTGTCAAAACGGCCTTCGGCCTGTTCATTTATATCAAAACGGCCTTTGGCCCATTATCTCTATCAAAACGACCTCTGGTCCATTCATTTATTCGTATCAGGCTTTTGTCGACGATCCTAATTGGCAAATTCATAAGGCTTATAAGGGAATAACAAGTAGACATTCACAAGCTTTTAAATATTGATATTACTCACGGTGATCGGCTTATGGATTTGCCCTGGAGCTTGACCCTACACATTTCATGAACACAAAAAGGGTCACTAACAGTTCAACCCGTTCTTTGCCTCACACGTTCCTCATTAGGCTTTATTCATATCTCATTAATTCATTTACAATGCTTAACATATGCCTAAGAGTGCTTACAAGTGAAAGAGAACGGAAAACAGAACTTAGAATGCAAAAACAGAATCTCAGAAAGCAGGGTCCCCGCTTGAGCGTGGACTTCCCCGCTCGAGCGAGCCCTTAGGTCTGCAAAAGTACTGGTTGCCTTCAATTCCAGCTCGAGCGTGAACTCAGCCGCTCGAGCGTACTGCCTGTCTACATAGCTCCCCGCCCGAGCGTCAAATTCCCCCGCTCGAGCGGGAACCATGTCTGCAAAAATGCTGGGAGCTCGATTTCTCCGCTCGAGCGGAAGTCAAAATTCTGGAAATTCCAGATTGTGTTCTTGAGCTTCAATTCAATTTCCCAGCTACCATTCTTGCATGCAAAGGCTCAAATCTCAAATATAATCATACTAACATGGTTCGTTTGCAAGATTATAGCATTATGAAGTTCAATTTCTTGATTTACTTACATGCATGTCCCAAAACATGACAAACTCATCACCCATATAACAAATTCATGCATTCAAGCACATATCTTGAATTATTCGAACATCCAAGGCCATCTTGACTTCATTTCCAATTCAAAGATGCAAATGGTGCCAAAACTCAACAAAACCAAGCTTGCATGCATGATCAAACTTCAATTTTTGCTTAATTGACATGGTACATGCCAGATTATGCAACTTATGGCAATTCAACAGAATTTTTATGCATGCATGGTCATATCTCATCAAGACCAATTTAAATCATACTCTTAATCACAAAAAAAATACTTGAGCTCACAAGATTACACGTTCAATTCATGAATTCAAGAGTCAATGGCTTACCTAGAAGCTTAATTCTCACAATTTAAGGTAAATTCTCGAGCTAGCCTCCAAGATCACCAAGCTTTAGGACCAAAATCTCAATTTCCTTCACCCTCTCTCTCTTAATGAGGGTGTAGTTGACCCTTAATAAGCACCCACTCAACATTATTTTATTATAAAACAATTGGGCACTTAATTTATCAATTTAATCAGTCTAAATTGACCAGGGTAAATTTTCAATTAATTTTCACCGTAGGTTATAAAAATTATGCCAATCACAGTGGCATAATCAACTTCGGGTTCTGTGGCCGATAAGGCCCTCAATTTAATTCCCGAAGCTGACTATTCAAACAGATGTTCCTACGGTGAACAGATACGAATTCAAAATCACATATTATCACATAATGGCACACAAAATCATGCTAAACGCATAACCATAAGCAAATTAAGGATCAATTTAGCGTAATACAGAACAAGGGTATCACAGTCCTCCCCCCTTTAGGAAGTTTCGTCCTCCAAACTTAAGTTACCTTCGTCGGGAAACAAATGTGGGTAGCGTAGTCGCATTTCCTCCTCTTTTTCCCACGTGGCATCCGTCCCATAGTGCTCTTTCCATTCTACTTTCACCATTGGGATGGACTTGTTTCTCAATTCTTTCACTTATCGGTCAACAATTCTTTCTGGCCATTCCGCATATTTCATATTTTCATCAATAGCGACCCGGTGATAATCAATCACATGGAGCGGGTCTCGAAGGTAACCTCTCAACATCGACACGTGAAATACATTGTGGATTTGTTCAAATCCCGGTGGCAAAGCAACTCTATAAGCAACTAGACCAAGTCTCTCTAGAATCTGGAACGGCCCGATGTAACGGGGCGACAACTTGCCCTTTTTCCCAAATCTGACTTGGCCTTTCATCGGAGAAACACGGACAAACACATGGTCGCCAACCTTATACTCAAGAGGTCTTCTCCAAACGTCTGCATAATTCTTTTGTCGGTCCTGAGCTGTTTTGAGCCTTTGGCGAATAGTCTTGATTTTCTCAGAAGTGTCTTGCACAATTTCTGGTCCAAGCAAAGCTCTATCCCCGACCTCTGTCCAACAAATAGGTGATCTACACCTCCTACCATACAAAGCCTCGTATGGTGCCATACCGATGCTGGAGTGGAAGCTATTATTATAAGCAAATTCTGCAAGTGGCAAATAATCTTCCCAACTCCCCTAAAAATCCAAAGCACACATGCGAAGCATATCTTCCAAAGTCTGTATTGTTCGTTCTGACTGCCCATCTGTCTGTGGGTGGAATGCAGTACTGAACCTTAGTTCTGTTCCCATAGCTTCCTGCAAACTCTTCCACAACC